TAAACGTGTTTATAAACGTGTTTATAAACGTGTTTCTGTGTTCTAGCATCACCAGCCGGGGTTGATGATCTTGGTTTTAGAGCTTGTTTACAGAGTTTAGATGAAGCTGCAACAGCAAATCTGAACGTTCTAACGCAGCGCAGCCATGAATCTACGGTGGAGATTTTAAAGACAAATTTAAATAATAATAAAGTGGTTTTCTCGCGTTTGTTAAAGCTTAGCCAAGAATAGTTTTCTGGTTTCAGCCACGTCTCCCCGGGTCCTCCCTCCGTTACGCACTCGTGCATTTAGCATCACCACTGGTGCTGCCGTGGCAACGCTTCGTTACAGCGCTTTACAACACGGCGGTAATGAGTTACCCCTCAAGGACCCGTGGTGACACAACCCGTTTCAGACATCTGCTGATTGGCTCGAGTCAGATATTCATGTTTGAAAACTAGCGACGTTCTATTCATTACTTTACTTCTTTGTTTTATTGAATTGTTTTCATGTTTAGACGCTTTTATTCTACTCTGTTTTCTGTTTCACATGATGTGTGCTGTAAAGGGTTAACGGGATTGGTACGTAGCTGCTGCAGTACTTACATCTTCCACCAGGAGGCAGAAGACTTTTACAGAAACGTTTGTGGAACGTACTAGTCCTGATGATGAGACCGACACCCTAGGTCCAAGAGCAGATCTGGTGCTCTCAGTGTGTGTGTGTGTGTGTGTGTGTGTGTGTGTGTGTGTGTGTGTGTGTGTGTGTGTGTGTGTGTGTGTGTGTGTGTGTGTGTGTGTGTTGTAACAAAGAACAGGCAGACGGTGTGAGTCTGAATGTCGTGTTTACTGCAAACAATGAAAATCCTCAGCCGTATCTTGATGACATCATCAAACACACAAGCTGCAGCCTCAGTCAGGTGAAAGTGAATAGATCACTAAGCCCCGCCCCTTCGCCAGTCAAACATCATTAAATAACAAAAAGAACAATTTTATTTCCGCTTCATCTCAGAGCTGCTTGACTTCCTCCTAACAGGAGAAACCAGAGGAATGTGAAGGTGGTTCTGATCCAGAACCCCCACAGCCGTGGGTTCTGTGGTCCAGTCCAGCAGCAGGTTCCTCTCAGAACAAACTAATGAGGAAGCTTCTCCTTTCATGAGTTTATTCTCTGAAAGGAGGCAGAGGAGCAGGGGTGGATGCCCGTGCCGTGAGAACTCACCAGCCATAGAAAACTATGTACAGCGGTGGAGGTAAGGAACAGGCGGGCGGGTGTTTGGTCTCTAAGAGGCTGTTTAACAACCTCCGTTTAATCCATTCTGTACAACAGGACTCATCACAACAGTACAAAGGGACGGTTCTGCCGGGTCTGACAGAACCTGGCAGCTGGGACTCCGGCTGGTCGTCAGCGTAAGTCCGGGAGTTAGAAAAGACCAGAACCAGAGTCCAACACCACACCATCCATGAAGAAAAATCATTCCAGAAGAAAATTACATACAAGTCAGGATTCCCACTCCGTGGGATCTGTTCCTGAAGAGCAGAACCGTTCTACTAGCACCGACCCTAACCCCCCAAAGCGCTTCTGTTAGCTCTCTTTACACCCAACCAGAAGGAAGTTACTAAAACTGAAGACTTTTACAGATCACATGGACAAAACAGCGTCAGAGACCCACAATGACTGTCAAATAAAAGATGAAATAAATAAAAAACAGCATTTTCATACGTCGGTAAAATGCCCGGCATTCCCACTTCTTACAAATACTTTTACAGTAAACCCAAAAGATGTCATATATTCATATATATATTTATATTTATATATATTTATACCAGAAACTGTCACAAATGAACCCCCAACGTAAAATAACATAAATAATAAGAATATTGCCACTTTGGCCTTCAGAATAAAAGCTGTCGTCTGAACGCGAGTCGCTTCTGTAAACCCAACATTTTCCTGCTTTTGGACGTTTTTTTGAGCCTTCGGTCCTCGTCTGCTCCGATTTGTGCTGAGTGAGTGTGTCGTAAACACACACACACACACACACGTTCGTATTATTATTATTATTATTATTAATATATTGTGCTGACTCGTGCCAAACACGAGTCTGTCTCCTTTCCGCTGAGGCGACAAATCAAAATGTTTTACTTCTGTTCAATTTCATAACAAGAGACAATAAGTATTTAAAGGCACACTCACGTCTAACGGAACGGCAGTACGGAAACGGTCCCAAACCATAATATTACTGTTAGCCCCGTGGATGAATCCATGGTTTATAGTGCCAGATCTGGGAAAACAAAACAATCCTGGCACTTCAGCATCAGGAGATCCCAAGCTCCACACCCTTAGTGTCCCGCTAACCCTAACCCGGTTTGTCTTCCCGGAGAAATCTTTTGTTTGATTTGATGAGAATCGTCAGAAAATGTTCCAAGGAAACTAAATGATTTTAGGAGTTTCACTTCAAACATCTAAATTATTAGCTGAGGAACACACACACACACACACACACACACACACACACGCTGCTGCAGGTCGCTGTAATAATCTGTCGGGTTTCTGCATCAATCACCGATGAAGCAAAGCATCATGGGATTGTTTATGATCCAGGAGGACATTCCCAGAGTGACATCAAAGATTTGGGTTTACGGGAATATCGACCGCTCGTCAGCGTTGTTTTTTACAGTTTTAGTCGTTTCTGATATTCGTAGCCTTGAATGCATAGAAATGTTGATTATCTTACGTTTGGATCCAGAACCGAGCTGAGATTATTCAGAGGAAAAGGACGAGAGGTTCTGCTGCTCGTTCAGTCCGACTCTGACAAGTTAGAGAGAAGGTTGGTAGTTGTATTCCCCTGAGACGTCTCTGTGCTCTCACCGTGTGCAGACGTGTCATGGCTTCATGCTGACAAGCTAACGAATACACGCTAAAGACAGGAAGAGTGAAGGTGTGGCGCCGCCGGCAGCTGTTAACGACCTGCTCTCAGAGGGAAACGGGGTTTAGGAATCTTGGGATCCTCTTCCGTATTTATGACGCTCAGAGCGTCGCTTCCATTAACATCGGCACGTTTTACAGTCTTTCCATGCTTCCGTGCTGAGGGATTGTTGTCCGCATAACGCCACCCAACAAAACCAGTGCTCTCTACGTTTGTTTCATTTTAAATTCAGGAGCTTTTCTCCAGAGCTACCATCCTGCAGCTTCCTGCCGTCAGCGGCCAAAATAAAAGACCAAGTGGACCGAGTCCTCTGAGGAGCTCTCAGGACGTCTGGCGGGCGAAAACAAAAACAAGCAGAATCCGAGTAAACAATAAAGAAACGATACCTGCACATGCCAAAGTACAAAATCCAATAAATACAGAAATTATTGCACAGTTAAAGGCTCCACAACATCAGAAGTCGACAGACTGATTGTTTCAGAAATCAATGCCAGGTGAGGCAGTTTGGACAGCTTCAGTGAAGATCTCAGCTTTACTTTGTTCTCAGTTTGTTGTAATAAAACACTAAATGAACTCAGAACGAACAGGAAGGTTTCCAGACACGCCTAGTTTGTGTTCGAGTCCCGGAGCGGCGCCTCAGGCTCGCTCTGCGTGTTCGAGTTTGACCTCACTGGTCATCAGGTGTTCTCCGTGCCACTTCTTCATGTGTTTCTCCAGAGTGCTGTACACACTGAAGGGCATTTGGCAAATGTCACAGCGGTAGACCTCCTTCCCCAGCTGGCCGTGGGTCTTCATGTGGCGGGTCAGCTTGGAGCTCTGAGCGCATGCGTAGTTGCACAGCTCGCACTTGTAGGGCCGTTCTCCCGTGTGGCTGCGCCGGTGCACCGTCAGGTTGCTGCAGTTTTTAAACACCTTGCCACAGAACTCGCAGGTGTCACACCTCCTCCCGTCCTTGGAGCTGGGCCGACCGGGACCTCCCCCTAAATGAGGTGTGCTACCCCCGCTGGCGGTGCCGCTGCGACCAGACAGGCCGCCGTCCAGCAGGTCCCCCGGAGGCGTGGAAAAGCGCAGGCTGCCATTCTCCGAGGAGTGCTCTGAGGAGGTGGCGAAGGGCGATTGTCTGGAGTCGGTGAAGCCTATGAAAGGGTCTTTGATGAAGTGACGTGAGGCGGCGTAGCCCACTAACCACTGGGAGTACACATTCTCAGAAGGAATGTGGGGCGCTTGGGGAATGTCCAAGTCCTTCTCGATCTTGATCCTCTTACTGGAGGAGTTGGACAGGGCGGGACTGGTGATGGGAGTGGGTTTCCTGGGAAAGAGGCCTGAGAGAGAGTCACCGGAGCCACAGTTCCGGCCGTTAATGGTGGTCCGCTCCTCCTGATGGTGGTGCTCCATCTCTCCAGCCACTGAATCCTCATCTCCAGTGTCCCGCTGGCCGTCCAGTACCCTCTTGGAGAAGGCCATCCTTTTACGATTGTCGACTATCAGGTTACTGTACTGCTGAATGGAGCCGAGCGCCCCGCCATCCACCATCTTTTCTAGAGCTGACTTCTCCTCCGAAGGAGGCTTAGAGCTGTTCTCCCGGTTCCTGTAGAACTCGGACTCCATGCTGAAATTGGATTCTGGTCGGCTCTCGTTCTCCAGCTCCTCTTCTTCCTCTTCCTCCTCCTCCTCCTCGTTACCTTCCCCTTGAAAGTCCCTGTCGCGGTTTTTGATGCCCTCCACCGTGACATCGCTGGTGCCGGGCTCTGGGGAGCTGGTGGTGGAGAGGCCATCATCAGAGCGTCCAGTCATGGACCCGGCCTTGTGCATGTGGGTCTTCATGTGGCGCTTCAGCTTGCTAGCCTGAGAGCAGGCGTGGTCACACAGCTGGCACTTGTATGGTTTCTCGCCAGTATGGCTGCGCCGATGCACCACCAAGTTGCTCTGGAACTTGAAGGTCTTCCCGCAGAACTCGCACGACTTGATCTTGTTCTGAGTCTGCGGTGGGGTGGTGCTGTTCGGGGGCATCGGCGGCAAGGGAGGGGTACTCAGAAAGGGCGACTTGGGCCCCGGTTGGAAGGGGTTAGGGTTTAGCAGTCGGTGCATAGGGTTGGGCCTGCTGGGTGACAGCGGGGGTGTTGTGCTGTTAGTGTTCCCCGCAAGCTCACGTAACCTTCTGGAGAAGTCCATGGACTGGGACTCCATGGCCATCGGCGTCAGCCGCATCACCCTCTCAAAGGCACTCGGGTGCTGGGAGATCAGGCCCATTTCCTCGGCACTAAGGCGTTCCAGTCGATGGGGGTCCAGGTGATGGCGGGGAGGCGGGCTTACAAACGGGGGTGTGCTGGGGATACGGTTCTCTACAAAGCCTGGGGGTGGTTCTCGAAGTAAAGGCCCCGTCATCCTCAGGAGGTGGAAGGGGTTGTTGTCCCCGAGGAAGCTGGTTAGAGAAGACGGTGGGATAGAGTCACTGCCCATCGGGGGAGGCAGGGTGAGCCGAGGGGTGAGTGCGGCGCTGGAGGGGTTGGCCTCCAGGTAAATGCGAATGCCATGATTGTTCTGGGCATGCTGCAGCAGGAACCAGGCGCTGGGGAACGGCTGCTTACAGGTGGTGCAGATGTAGTTGGAGGGCTCATCTCTCCCACCTGGAGACACACAAACCAGCCAGAAGGTGAGTAAATGTGGCCGTAAGGCTGTAAAAGGATCAGCAACAGCAAGTTAGAGACTAATAACCATCATTTGTTCTCTTTCTGAGCAACAACCCGACGTCATTAACCAACCCACAACCACCATCATTAACAGACCCACAACCACCATCATTAACAGACCCACAACCCCCATCATTAACCGACCCACAACCCCCATCATTAACCAACCCACAACCACCATCATTAACAGACCCACAACCCCCATCATTAACAGACCCACAACCACCATCATTAACAGACCCACAACCCCCATCATTAACCGACCCACAACCCCCATCATTAACCAACCCACAACCACCATCATTAACCAACCCACAACCACCATCATTAACCGACCCACAACCACCATCATTAACCAACCCACAACCACCATCATTAACAGACCCACAACCACCATCATTAACCGACCCACAACCACCATCATTAACAGACCCACAACCCCCATCATTAACCGACCCACAACCACCATCATTAACAGACCCACAACCCCCATCATTAACCGACCCACAACCACCATCATTAACCAACCCACAACTACCATCATTAACCAACCCACAACCACCATCATTAACAGACCCACAACCCCCATCGTTAAACAAACCACAACCCCCATCATAAACCGACCCACAACCACCATCATTAACAGACCCACAACCCCCATCATTAACCAACCCACAACCACCATCATTAACCAACCCACAACCACCATCATTAACAGACCCACAACCACCATCATTAACCGACCCACAACCACCATCATTAACCAACCCACAACCACCATCATTAACCAACCCACAACCACCATCATTAACAGACCCACAACCCCCATCATTAACCGACCCACAACCACCATCATTAACAGACCCACAACCCCCATCATTAACCGACCCACAACCACCATCATTAACAAACCCACAACCACCATCATTAACAGACCCACAACCACCATCATTAACCAACCCACAACCCCCATCATTAACCGACCCACAACCACCATCATTAACAGACCCACAACCCCCATCATTAACCGACCCACAACCACCATCATTAACCGACCCACAACCACCATCATTAACAGACCCACAACCACCATCATTAACAGACCCACAACCCCCATCATTAACCGACCCACAACCCCCACCATTAACCGACCCACAACAACCATCATTAACAGACCCACAACCCCCATCATTAACAGACCCACAACCCCCATCATTAACCGACCCACAACCACCATCATTAACAGACCCACAACCCCCATCATTAACCGACCCACAACCACCATCATTAACCGACCCACAACCACCATCATTAACAGACCCACAACCACCATCATTAACCGACCCACAACCACCATCATTAACCAACCCACAACTACCATCATTAACCAACCCACAACCACCATCATTAACAGACCCACAACCCCCATCATTAACCGACCCACAACCCCCATCATTAACCGACCCACAACCACCATCATTAACAGACCCACAACCCCCATCATTAACAGACCCACAACCCCCATCATTAACCGACCCACAACCACCATCATTAACCAACCCACAACTACCATCATTAACCGACCCACAACCACCATCATTAATCAACCCACAACTACCATCATTAACCAACCCACAACCACCATCATTAACCAACCCACAGCCCCCATCATTAACCAACCCACAACTACCATCATTAACCGACCCACAACCACCATCATTAACAGACCCACAACCACCATCATTAACCAACCCACAACCACCATCATTAACCGACCCACAACCACCATCATTAACAGACCCACAACCACCATCATTAACCGACCCACAACGACCATCATTAACCAACCCACAACTACCATCATTAACCGACCCACAACCACCATCATTAACCAACCCACAACTACCATCATTAACCAACCCACAACCACCATCATTAACCAACCCACAACCACCATCATTAACAGACCCACAACCACCATCATTAACAGACCCACAACCCCCATCGTTAAACAAACCACAACCACCATCATTAACCGACCTAAACAACAATAATTAACAGACCCACAACCCCCATCATTAACCAACCCACAACCACCATAATTAACAGACCCACAACCACCATCATTAACAGACCCACAACCCCCATCGTTAAACAAACCACAACCACCGTCATTAACAGACCCACAACCACCATCATTAACCGACCCACAACCACCATCATTAACCAACCCACAACTACCATCATTAACCGACCCACAACCACCATCATTAACAGACCCACAACCCCCATCGTTAAACAAACCACAACCACCATCATTAACCGACCAACAACCACCATCATTAACAGACCCACAACCCCCATCGTTAAACAAACCACAACCACCATCATTAACAGACCCACAACCACCATCATTAACCGACCCACAACCACCATCATTAACCAACCCACAACTACCATCATTAACCAACCCACAACCATCATCATTAACAGACCCACAACCACCATCATTAACAGACCCACAACCCCCATCGTTAAACGAACCACAACCACCATCATTAACCGACCCACAACCACCATCATTAACCAACCCACAGCCCCCATCATTAACCGACCCACAACCACCATCATTAACCAACCCACAACCACCATCATTAACAGACCCACAACCACCATCATTAACAGACCCACAACCCCCATCATTAACCGACCCACAACCCCCACCATTAACCGACCCACAACAACCATCATTAACAGACCCACAACCCCCATCATTAACAGACCCACAACCCCCATCATTAACCGACCCACAACCACCATCATTAACAGACCCACAACCCCCATCATTAACCGACCCACAACCACCATCATTAACCAACCCACAACTACCATCATTAACCGACCCACAACCACCATCATTAACAGACCCACAACCCCCATCATTAACTGACCCACAACCACCATCATTAACCAACCCACAACTACCATCATTAACAGACCCACAACCACCATCATTAACCAACCCACAACTACCATCATTAACCAACCCACAACCACCATCATTAACCAACCCACAGCCCCCATCATTAACCGACCCACAACCACCATCATTAACCAACCCACAACTACCATCATTAACCGACCCACAACCACCATCATTAACAGACCCATAACCACCATAATTAACCGACCCACAACCACCATCATTAACAGACCCACAACCACCATCATTAACCGACCCACAACCACCATCATTAACCAACCCACAACTACCATCATTAACCGACCCACAACCACCATCATTAACCAACCCACAACTACCATCATTAACCAACCCACAACCACCATCATTAACCAACCCACAATCCCCATCATTAACCGACCCACAACCACCATCATTAACCGACCCACAACCACCATCATTAACCAACCCACAACTACCATCATTAACCAACCCACAACCACCATCATTAACCGACCCACAACCACCATCATTAACCGACTCACAACCACCATCATTAACCGACCCACAACTACCATCATTAACCGACACACAACCACCATCATTAACCAACCCAAAACTACCATCATTAACCAACCCACAACCACCATCATTAACAGACCCACAACCACCATCATTAACCGACCCACAACCACCATCATTAACCAACCCACAACTACCATCATTAACCAACCCACAACCACCATCATTAACAGACCCACAACCACCATCATTAACAGACCCACAACCCCCATCATTAACCAACCCACAACCACCATCATTAACAGACCCACAACCACCATCATTAACAGACCCACAACCCCCATCGTTAAACAAACCACAACCACCATCATTAACAGACCCACAACCACCATCATTAACCGACCCACAACCACCATCATTAACCAACCCACAACTACCATCATTAACCAACCCACAACCACCATCATTAACAGACCCTCAACCAAAATCATTAACAGACCCACAACCCCCATCGTTAAACGAACCACAACCACCATCATTAACCGACCCACAACCACCATCATTAACCAACCCACAGCCCCCATCATTAACCGACCCACAACCACCATCATTAACCGACCCACAACCACCATCATTAACCAACTCTCAACTACCATCATTAACCAACCCACAACCACCATCATTAACCGACCCACAACCACCATCATTAACCGACCCACAACCACCATCATTAACCGACCCACAACTACCATCATTAACCGACCCACAACCACCATCATTAACCAACCCAAAACTACCATCATTAACCAACCCACAACCACCATCATTAACAGACCCACAACCACCATCATTAACCGACCCACAACCACCATCATTAACCAACCCACAACTACCATCATTAACCAACCCACAACCACCATCATTAACAGACCCACAACCACCATCATTAACAGACCCACAACCCCCATCGTTAAACAAACCACAACCACCATCATTAACCAACCCACAACCACCATCATTAACAGACCCACAACCACCATCATTAACCGACCCACAACCACCATCATTAACCAACCCACAACTACCATCATTAACCAACCCACTACTACCATCATTAACCAACCCACAACCACCATAATTAACAGGCCCACAACCCCCATCGTTAAACAAACCACAACCACCATCATTAACCAACCCACAACCACCATCATTAACAGACCCACAACCCCCATCATTAACCGACCCACAACCACCATCATTAACAGACCCACAACCCCCATCATTAACCAACCCACAACCACCATCATTAACCGACCCACAACCACCATCATTAACCGACCCACAACCACCATCATTAACCGACCCACAACCACCATCATTAACCGACCCACAACCACCATCATTAACAGACCCACAACCACCATCATTAACAGACCCACACCCCCCATCATTA